GGTAGGAAGAGAGAGGAGTAAAAAGATACAGATCAGTAAAGAATACAAATACATAACAAACTGAATTTATTCTGACCTTAAAGAATCAAGACATGACTCAACTGGCCATTTTATAAACTTCCGACTCACCCTCCTAACATCTGACACAACTGCCCTTTCATAAGTATTCTTTGTTCTTTCTGAATTAAAGTATTTTTGACAAGTTACCAAGTATTTGCTTTCCAAATACTTTTTCCTCTACTAATAAAACCCCAAATTACTTTAAAAGGTCAAACAAATCTTTATTGCATTTGCTAACACTGTGTCTCAAATTTGTGTCTACAAACTAAGCTCAAATGTTTAAAATTCAAATACTTCTGTGTGTGATTTTTGAAGTATACCAGTTCATACAAGGAATCTTCATGTATTTGGTTTGCATTATTTTGATCCTGTCTCATCTCAACTTAACATGTAAATTTTTTAGCACTTACATATACTCTTGTGCTTGTTTTATTTAATTCACTAATTAATTAATTTTTAGAGATAGGATCTTGCTTTGTCACCCAGGCTAGAGTGCAGATCATAGCTTATTGTACCCTGAAACTCCAGGGCTCAAGCAATCCTCTCCTCCTGATTTGCTAGGACAACAGGCATGTGTTACCACACCCCACCAATTTTTTAAAGAATTTTTGTAGGGATGGGGTCTCAATCTTACCAAGGCTGGTCTCCAACTCCTGGCCTCAAATGATCCTCCTGCCTTGGCCTCTCAAAGTGCTGGGATTACAGGCATGAGCCACACAGCACCTGGCCAGAGTTATTTTAGATTATGCAAATTAGTAGTTAAAACTAAGTCATAGAGAATCTCTCCATAACAGAAAGCATATATTAAAATATAAAATTTGTAAAGGCTAAAATGCTGACTAAACCCTTTCCTATTATAGTGGTAAATGAATCAAATATGAAATTATATAAAATCATAGCATTTTTCACTCCTAAGGATAAAAATTCTAGTTAATTTGTCAAAATCTGTTCTAAAGCCTCTCCATAAATTATATTAAAGTCTGCTTAAGCAATTTGCCAAGGATTTTGTTTGAACACCCAATTCAAATTTACATAAGTAACTTCAACTCGATATTTTACATTTAAAAGCTGTAGAAGAAAATGGAGAGAAACTGTGGCTTAAATGTTTTTAATCTTAACACTTATGAAAAAGGACCTAAGGATGCCTAACTGTAAGATAGTCTTTTATACTCAGTTTTTAAATGTTCAATTATTTTAGTTAGATCTTATTTTGTATTTTTGTAATATATTAAAAAAATTTTTTTGAGACAGGGTCTTGCTCTGTCACCCAGGCTGGAGTGCAGTGGCACAATCACAGGTTACTGCAGCCTCAACCTTCCAGACTCAAGTGATCCTCCCACCTTAGCCTCCCAAGTAGTCAGGACTATAGGTACACATTACCATGCCTGGCTAATTCTTTTTGTGCTTTTGGTAGAGATAGGGTTTTACCATGTTACCTAGGCTGGTCTTAAACTCCTGAGCTCGGGAAATCCACCTGCTTCAGCCTCCCAAAGTGCTGGAACTACAGGTGTGAGCCACCGTACCCAGCCCCCAAAATCTTAATTACCCTTATTAATGGCATGCAGCAGAGGCCTACATAATCCAACTAAGAGCATTTAATGTTCACTATCAACACACACAAAATCAACCAGAAAATCATTCAATTAAAAAAATATATATATATACACATAAAAAAGAACAAAATCATGTCTTTGCAGCCACATAAATGTAGCTAGAGGCCATTATCCTAAGTGAATTGATGTAGAAACAGAAAATCAAATACCACATGTTCTTACTTATAAGTGGAAGCTAAACACTGGGTACACATGGACAGAAAGATGGAAACAAGAGACACTGAGGACTCCATAAAAGGGGACACAGGGAGGAGGGCAAGGGTTGAAAAACTACCTATTAGGTACTAAGTTCACTCTTTGGGCGACAGGTTCAATTTAAGTGCAAACCTCAGCATTACACTAAAAATCCATGTAACAAACCTGCACATGTACACCCTGAATCTAAAATAATAATTACAAAAAGAAATTAGGGATTACCATGTTAGCTATATACCTAAAGGGCAGTGTGGCCCCACTGATAACTGTGTTACATGATTATATTCTTTTTTGGTGGTGTGGTGGAGAGACAGTCTTGCTCTGTTACTCAGACAAGAGTGTGGTGGGGTGACCCTGATTCACTGCAATCTCCACCTTCTGGGCTCAAACAATCCTCCCACCTCAGTCTCCCGAGTAACTGGGATTCAGGCATGCACCACCATGCCTGGCTAATTTTTGTATTTTTTGTAAAGATGAGGTCTTGCTATGTTGCCCAAGCTGGTCTCGAACTCTTGGCCTCAAGCAATTCTCCTACCTTGGCCTTCTCAAGTGCTGAGATTACATGTGTGAGCCACTGTGCCTGGCTGTAACATGTATTCTTTTTGAAAGAAAATTTATGTACTTAATTGATTTACTTGCTGGATGTTGTTCTGTAAGCTCCTGGAGGGGAGGAGCTATGTCAGCTTAGCTCTACTATGTGGTACAGTATGTGGCATGTAGTGTTTGCTCAATAAATATTTACAAATGTATGGCAAAACAAAACAAAAAAATACACATATAGATAAGCAATCTAATAACAATTTACTGTTAGTTTTAATATTTTATATACTATTTTAAAAGCAACATATTAAATAATGACAGTGACAGATTACCACTCACTAAATAAGAATCCATGGGTGCATACTGGTATGAATAAATAAACAAGAGAGAAGGGAAAGCACTTTTTCTTAAATGGAGTCTCACTTGGTTGCCCAGGCTGGAGTGCAGTGACATCGTGATCTTGGCTCACTGCAACCTCCACCTCCTGGGTTCAAGGGATTCTCCTGCCTTAGCCTCCCAAGTAGTTGAGACTACAGGTGCATGCCACCACACCCAGCTAATTTTTTTTTATTTTTAGTAGAGATAGGGTTTTGCCATGTTGCCCACGCTGGTCTCAAACTTGGCCTCAAGTGATCCACCCACTTCCCAAAGTGCTGTGATTACAAGCCTGGGCCACTATGCCCGGCCTGCACTTTCTTATAATAGAATGCCAATTAACGAGCATAGAGTGGAGGACAGAATTCAAAAATCACCATTTGACAGCCATCACTGCAATAACTGATTAAATCATGAATCATTGATAGATGCTAAAAACTAGTAGAAAGTTTGACGAGAAACAGGATTTTTATATCATCTCAAATTATCTCCTCCAAATATACTTATAAAGAAAAAATGGTAGCTTTACAATAACTTGACAGGCACCACCTCAAAAAGTGATTAAAATACCATCAGCAATAACGGGACAAACTGATGTCATGTGACTTCTGATAGATATGACAAGTAAATGCAATGTGGAATCATGGATTAGATCCTGGACCAGAAAAAAAGTTTTTCTCCTCTTTTGCTATAAAGGACATTATTGGAACAACTGGCAAAATTTGAGTAAGGTATGTAGATTTGATAAAAGCATTGTATCTGTGTTAATCTCCCAAATGTCCTTGTTGTTTGTTTATTTTTTTTCCTTTTTTGAGATGGAGTCTCACTGTGTTACCCAGCCTAAAGTGCAGTGGCACAATCTTGGCTCATTGCAACCTCAACCTCCCGTGTTCAAGCGATTCTCCTGCCTGAGCCTCCCATGTAGTTGGGATTACAGGCACCTGCCACCATGCCCAGCTAATTTTTGTATTTTTAGTAGAGAAAGGGTTGGTTTCACCATGCTGGCCAGGCTGGTCTCAAACTCCTGACCTCAGGTGATCCACCCACCTTGGCCTTCCAAAGTGTTGGGATTACAGGTGTGAGCCACCGCACCCAGCCCTGAATGTCCTTATTTTTAGAAAAATACACATTTTATACAAAAAAAAATTAGCTGGGTGTGGTGGTGCATGCCTGTAGTCCTAGCTACTCGGGAGGCTGAGGCAGGGGAATTGCTTGGACCCAGGAAGCAGAGATTGCAGTGAGCTGAGACTGCGCCACTGCACTACAGCCTGGGCGACAGTGCGAGACTCCATCTCAAAAAAAAAAAAAGAAAAGAAAAGAAAAGAAAATACACATTTTGATATTTATAGGTAAATATAAATATTTACCTATTTATAGGTAAATACGTGTTGGGTATCACGTCAACAACTTACTTGCAAATGGTTCCGAAACAAGCACACATGTAGACAGAAAGGTAATGCAAATGCAGTAAAATAACATTAAGGGAATCTGGGTGAAGGGGTATGTGAATTATTTGTACTACTCTTGCAACTTTTCTGGAAGTATAAAATTATTTCAAAATAGTATTAAAACAGTTAAAAACTAATAAAATGTAAACAAAGCATTAGCTAAAACATAAGAAAAGGAATGGTTGAAGAGCAAATTATAGATGCCTATGATGGGTGCAGTTTTGGTTTAATTATTCATATGTTTGAAGAATTATTAATATTATTGCTTTCTTTTTTTTTTTTTGAGATGGAGTTTCAGTCTTGTTGCCCAGGCTGAAGTGCAATGGCACATTCTTGGCTTACCACAACCTCCGCCACCCGGGTTCAAGTGATTCTCCTGCCTTAGCCACCTGAGTAGCTGAGATTACAGGCATGCACCACCACGCCCGGCTAATTTTGTATTTTTAGTGGAGACAGGGTTTCTCCATGTTGGTCAGGCTGGTCTTGAACTCCTGACCTCAGGTGATTCTCCTGCCTTGGTTTCCCAAAGTGCTGGGATTACAGGTGTCAGCTACCACGCCCGGCCCCTGCTGTCTTTCATCAAGTGGTCTTAGTGCACTTTATCAACACATTTTACTTCCTTCACTTTATAGGTGAGAAAACAGACATGTAGAAGAGCTAAAATGTGGCAAGTTGATTTTGGAATGGAAACAAAGAAACTTTGACTTTTAATTAATAACACAGTGTTAAGATGTGATACAGCTAGACACAGCAGAAGGCATTCATTTACCTTGCTCTATTGTAAATCACTGGCTCATTTTCTTCCTGCACAGTTGTCAGCATATCCAAGTCATGGAATATTTTCTGCATATAGTCCAAATATTTACATCCTGAAGCTCTCTCTACTATGGCTGCCAGTAGGGTATAGCCAAAAGTTGAATACAAAAACTGACTACCTTGAGACATCATTGTAAGGAGGAAAAAAAGAAAATAATAATCAATATTATTCAAAGATATATAAAATATATTCCCACTGAAAACTGGCATACCTTTAAAACTGGAATATTTTACTTTAGCATTTAGAAGAAGAACACAGGAAATACATCAACAAATTGAGTTAACTTTGCAATTGTCCTTATTCCAAGTTCTTAACACAAGAATAAAATTAAGACCAACATAAAATTTCACATAAATCTGCTCCTTTCTTTGATAATAAAGTAAGCAAATAAATACCACCTCAAAACAAAATAAAAGTCTTTCAAAGCGACAACAAAACAGGAAGAGGAAAAAGAGCAAATTTGATTTATTGGGTCAACTTGTTCTTAATCTACCTCTACTCATTGTTTAAGGCATCAATGGGCATACACATTCTTATTTTAATCAAATATATGGGCCAGATGTGGTGGCTCTCACCTGTATCCTAGCACTTTGGGAGGCCAAGGCGGGTGGATCACGAGGTCAGGAGTTGGAGACCAGCCTGGCCAACATGGTGAAACCCTGTCTCTACTAAAATATAAAAATTAGCTGGGTGTGATGGTGGGGGCCTGTAATCCCAGCTATACGGGAGACTGAGGCAGGAGAATTGCTTGAACTCAAGATGCGGAGGTTACAGTGAGCCAAGATGGTACCACTGCATTCCAGCCTGGGCAACAGAGCCAGACTCCGTCTCAAAAACAAATAAAGAAATAAATAAAATAAAATACATAAATGTAGACGTACAAACCTTGTTTCAAATACATATTTAAATTTAAATACATATTAAAATATACATAGTATTTCAAATAAGTAACTTTATATCATTTTGGGTTCTAGACAAACTCAAACTGGTTTGAGACAGGGTCTTCCTCTTGCTGTTGCCCAGGCTAGAGTACAGTGGTATAATCATAACTCACTGCAACCCTGAACTCCTGGGTTCAGGGATCCCCCTACCTCAGCCTCCTGAGCAGCCAGGACTACTTACAGGTGCAGGCCACTGAACCTGGATAATTAAAAAAAATTTTTTGTAGAGACAGGGCCTCACTTTGTTGCCCAGACTAGTTTCAAACTCCTGGGCTCAAGCGATCCTCCCACCTTTGCCTCCCTAAGTGCTGGGATTATTGGGCATGAGCCAACTGTACCCAGCATGGAACTTTATTTTTAAGAAAAAATCCAAAATTATATTTTATTTGCTCTAATTATATATATTAACATCTATTCAACTAAAAGCTTTTAAAATGAAAATAGAATAAAAGTATATAAACCTATGGTAAATTTAGATATTAAGTAGCTTCAATAGGCACTAAATCAAAAAATAAACCAAAGATAATTATTTGTATAGATTGGCTTTTTGGGAAAAAATTGATGAACAGTTATTTCTTTCTTTCACTTTTGTTTTTGAGATGGAGTCTTGCTCTGTCACCCAGGCTAGAGTATAATGGCGCGATCTCGGCTCAAGGCAACCTCTGCCTCCTGAGTAGCTGGGACTGCAGGTGCACGCCACCATGCCCGGCTAAATTTTGTATTTTTAGTAGAGATGGGGTTTCGCCATGTTGGCTAGGATGGTCTCGATCTCTTGACCTCAAGATCTGCCCGACTTGGCTTCCCAAAGTGCTGGGAGTACAGGCATGAACCACTGCACCCAGCCCAAACACTCCTTTCTTTAAGAAACAAAGGCACAAAGTAAGTTGAGCAATTTACCTTCTAACTAAATAGTAAAATATCAGCAATACCTTATCATGTCTACTTTGGTCCAGGTTGTATTTAGAGAACTATTATTCCAACATTTCTCCATAATTTTGCATGAATAGCTTGATACTGAGAATCCTCTAAATGACTAGGTAGTCACTAATGAGGCAAAATTTAAACAACGACCCGCCTGGATGCTAGGCTTTGATAGGAACTACAGACAAAACCATGAGCACCGGACTGGCCCACATCACAATCGTCAACCTCACTGAATACACTCCGGATGGCATCATTTTAGATTTCCTGAAGATTAACATTTCAGTAATGATGATTTTGTTAAGAGAAGAGATTAACACTCACCAGGTTTAAAGAACAAAGGATCATTTTTAAATAATTTTAGGGATTCAATTGAATTTTCAAACTTTTCTTTCAAATATAATTCGCCTTGTTCAAAATCATTCTTCTTCTTGCCAGGTTTTGAATTCCGGCATTTGGCTTCATTCTCCTGCTCTGTTTTAAATTTAGTAAAGTCATTCTTTTCATTGCTTTTGCCTTCTTTTTCTTGCTCAAATGCAACAGTCTCTTTCATCATCTTCAAGGCTTTATAAGCTTTCTCTTCTTTCACCTTTTTCATGTCCTTTTCATAATGACGAATTCCACTTAAATGGGAAATCAGTAATCTTGTTGTGACAGAAACCTAATTATAACAACATGAGAATGCAATTACAATATTAAACTGTGCAATAGAAAGTTAGTTGCCCTGGAATCATGTCTCAGTAATATTTTCCATTTTGAGCTGCTGCTGGGAAAATGTCATGTACAAATCCTTAGCCTCAAATTTCAGAAAAATACCTACCTGATGACCATCTGGATTAAAAGAAAAAACTAATACACTAACAATAACTACAAACAAGCCAAAGAATGCTATGAAACGTTTTAAATATAAATTTCAGCATAAACTATTTAACAGGCCATTAATAAAATGAACAGTAAGTTTCACTACCTTTTCACCTTCATATTCCTTTTCTGGGAATTCGGGAACATAATGTTGTACTGGAATATCAAGATCCAGCTTCCCTGCTTCCCACAACTTGGCAAGAGCAACCATGGTGAGACTTTTGCTGATGCTGGCAATTCGCATAACTGTCTCAGGTTTACATGGTACACGGTTCTCAACATCAGCATAACCTAAACCTTTGGGAGGAAAAAAGCAAAAAGTCACTATTAACAGTTTTCATGGTCAAACAAGTCTTCAAAAACTGAAGTAGTACTACGTTTAAAGATACCGTGTCTTTATCTAAAAGAAAAGATACTCCACTTTTATAAGTTACTTAACACTGGACATGTAAAAGATTAAAATCTTAGTATACTGGTAAGCCTAACAATTTAACCTTATAATGAAAGTGCAATTGTACCATTTGCAATAGCAATTTTCTATGATTTAGATACACATTTGTCTTAGCTTATCTAAACAACTAAGTTATTCCACATTTTAAATATTCTTTAAAGAAAACATCTTTATTCTTTCGATTATATTTACTTTTGACTTTTGAGTAAATTTCCACCAAATTCCTTGAAATAACCACTCAATAAAAATCAGTGTGGGTCAGGTGCAGTGGCTTATGCCTGTACTCCCAGCACTTTGGGAGGCCGAAGCAGGAGGATCCCCTGAGGTCAGGATCGAGGTGATCAGCCATCTGACCAACATGGTGAAACCCCGTCTCTATAAAAAATACAAAAATTAGCTGGCTGTGGTGGTGCGTGCCTGTAATCCCAGCTACTCAGGAGGCTGAGGCAGGAGAATTGCTTGAACCCAGGAGGCGGAGGTTGCAGTGAGCTGAGATCATGCCACTGTACTCCAGCCTGAGTGACAGAGTGAAACTCTGTCTCAAAAAAAAAAAAAAAAAAAAAAAAGTGTGAAAAGATGTCCTGCAAACCAAATCTAGCTAACCATCAATTTAATTTGGCTGCAAACCAGAAGAAAAATTATGTACTAACTTACTTTTTCTAGAAAATATTTAAATTTGGTTTCGATGTTCTACAGACTGAAAGCGTGTAAATCTAATTAAGAAAGAGAAAGTTTCTGTAATCCCAGCACTTTGGGAGGCAAAGGCAGGCGGATTACTTGAGCTCAGGAGTTCGAGGCTAGACTGAACAACATGGCAGAAACCACATCTCTAAAAATATACAAAAAAAAGTCTGACATGGTGGAGCGCACCTGTAGTCCCAAGCTACTTGGGAGGCTGAGGTGGGAGAATCATCAGAGCCCAAAAAGGTTGAGACTGCAGTGAGCCAAAATCACGCCACTGCACTCCAGCCTGGGTGACAGAGTGAGACCTTGTCTGAAGAAAGAAGAAAGAAGAAAGAAGAAAGAAGAAAAGAAAAGAAAGAAGAAAGAAGAAGAAGAAGAGAGAACCCAAAGGAATAAATATTAAATATCTAAAAAATATTTGTATAAAGTCCATAAAGCTGACATTTGTATAATTTTTGATTATGAGATTTATCATAAATTAGGTATAATGATTAGGCTATACTTATATTTGAAGGAAAAATCATTTTTCTTTTTAAAAAAATTAAAAATTTTTTATAGAGACATAGGTGTCACTACGGTGCCCAAGCTGGTCTCCAACTTCTGGCCTTCAGAGATCCTCCCTCCTTGGCCTCCCAAAGTGCTGGGATTACAGGTGTGCGCCACCTCCACTGGCCCATTTTTCTTTAAATTCAAACCCCTACTGTTCCCATCAACTTCTAAAAGTGTTACTGCCTTTAAATGACATCTGAAACGTTTTTTTTTTTTTTGAGACACAGTCTTGGTCTGTTGCCCAGACACAGCTCACTGCAACCTTTGCCTTCCTGGTTCAAGCGATTCTCATGCCTCAGCCTCCCAAGCAGCAAGATTACAGGCACCAGCACGCCTGGCTAATTTTTTGTATTTTTAGTAGAGATGGGGTTTTGCCATGTTGCCCAGGCTTTTCTCAAACTCCTGAGCTCAGGCAATCCGCCTGCCTCCGCCTCTTAAAGTGCTAGGATTACAGGTGTGAGCCACCAAGACCGGCCTGAAACCTCATTTTCTAAAATTAGTATTCCTAGAAAGCTGGGATGACCAACTGGATCAATTTATGTGCAATGAGGAAGTTATACAAAAAATGCTATCATAAAAGTATCATAAAATGAATAGAAATCCCTCTCCCTAAGTTTCTTGCCTTTTGTTTTAAAAAAATATTTGACACCTCTGCCTGGTAAAAAGCCTGATAAAGTAGACTAAGAAGTCATGAAAGACAACGGGTACCGTATAACTCCAGTACTCAGTACTGTGCCTTTTACAGAAGACAGGACTCAACAAATTATTGAGTTAATTAAAAAAGAAAAATACGCAAATTCTGAGTTTTAACTACCCATAAGTGTTACCTACAAGTACTCAGTTAATGGATTGTTCTACACAGTAGTCACCCCTTATCTGTGGTTTTGCTTTCCTCGGTTTCAGTTATCCATGGTCCAAAAATATTACATGGAAAATTCCAGAAATAAACAATTTTAAAGTTTTAAATTGCATGCCACTCAGGGTATTGTTGTGACTGTTGTATTTTGTTGTTGTTGTTAATCTTCACTATGCCTAATTTATAAACTAAACTTTATTACAGGTATGTATGTATAAGAGAAAACGTAGTATATACAGGGTTCCATACTATCCCCGTTTTCACGTATCCATTGAGGGTCTTGGAATATATCCCTAGGATAGGGAGGGACTACTGTATACAACTTTCAGACCAATAAATCCAGTCGTAAGAGAAAAGTGGGAGTAGGTAGCAGCAAGCCATCTTTATGACTCCAATTTATTAGTCACATTTTAAAGTTTACTGTGATTTAAAAACACCTAATTCTCTATTCTGTTAGATGTTCTCTCTGCAATATGCATCGCTTTATGTAAACGGAATAGCATTTCATGGGATTCTCTCCAACCAGTAAAACAATATTTTATTTACCAACTGGTACAGAACAATCTACTAAACAACAATTTTCTGAACCCACCTTCTGACCAGACTTCCTTTCCATCTACAGAAACTCCAACCACTATGCCGGGTGCGCCCACCTCATCCTAAAGCGATGGGGAAAGAACCTGCAGTTAGAGACCTGCTGAAAAAGCCCAGAGCTCTCCTCTGGGGCCTTCCAAGGCCTCGCCCTTTCGGTCTGGACTCCGCCCCCTCTACTCGAGCCCCGCCCCCGCCACCAGGGCCCCGCCCCCTCCACCCGTCCCCGCCCACCTCATCCCAGGCCAGACTCACTAACAGCAAGGGATGTGCCCTGTCCGCCCCTTGGGGGAAGGCGCAGTCCCCGAGACGGGCGGTGACCTCCGCCCCGATTTGGGGAACCCCCAAGAGCGTCTGACCGAGGCTTAGCGGTGAGGAAATGGGAAGTCTTTCTCGGAAGCCGACTGCCGGCACCCCACTGCCCCTGGTGGGGTCCGCTCAGCCCCGGACAGCACCGCCGAGAGGGCTGGGTCCCCGGCCACCTACGCCCCGCGCCCCAGTGGCCGCACCTTGATCCTGTGCAGCAGGTCGCGGCTGCTCTCGATGGCTCTGGCGAAGCACCTGGAGCGGGGCAGCGCCGGGGTCTGCGGAGACCACGGGGCGAGGGATTGCTCCTGTGGCGGCTCGGCCAGAGGCGATGCCTCGGGGTCAGGAGCCGTGGGGGGCTGCGCCGGAGCCGCGCCCCTCAGCCCACCCGCCAGCTTCACCCCCAGCGCCAGTCCCAGCCCCAGCCCGAGGCCCCCGACCCAGCCGTGCCCAAGCGGCGGCAGCCCGGCGCGCTGATGGACCCCGCGTCTTCCGCAGCTCGAGGCCAAGCCCCCGGGGGCGGCAGCCGGGGCAGTCACGGCTGACAGGAGCCGGTACATGGCGTCTCTACACAGCGGGCCGCCTCGGAATTCACGCAGGCCGGGCGGGCTGCGGCGCGGCGAAGAGGGAGGGACAGGGGGCGGGACGGGGGCGGGGACTGCGGTCAGACCCTAGCAGTCGACTCCTGAGGACCCGAGCGCCGCTCACATCGAGCCGTTCTCCTTTGCCTTTCTTCTTGTCTCTTCCCTGTTTTTTCTTTCTTTCGGTCTCCCTTTCCTTTTTTCCCTTTGCTTATTCTCAGATCAACCGTCACCTCCAAGAGCCCTTCCTAGCTCCCGTCCCATGGGAGTTCTTTCCCATACCGTCTTGCCCCTCAGTGTGCACAAACTTCCCTTAGTAACAGCAAACACTTTGTTATCGTTTAACTGCTTGTCAGATTCCCGCCAGACTGGGACTTCTTTGGGGAGCCTAGACTTAGTTTTGGATCCTCAACTTCTGGAACAGCACAGGGCACACAGTAGACGCTCAGCAGACAGCTTCTTTCCCGTTAGAACGGACTTTTATTCTCTCTCTCTCTCTCCCTCTCCACCTCCCTTCTTTATGTCTCATTTCAGCTCCGCCCATTTCCCTAAAGCGTGGTGGCTCACGGCTGTAATCCCAGCACGTTGGGAAGCCGAGGCTGGTGGATCACTTGAGGTCAGGAGTTCGAGACCAGCCTGTCCAACATGATGAATCCCCGTCTCCACTAGAAATACGAAAATTACCTGGGTATGGTGTCGCACGCCTGTAATCCCAGCTACTCGGGAGGGGGAGGCAGGAGAATTGCATGAACTCGGGAGGCGGAGGTTGCAGTGAGCCGAGATTGTGCCACTGCATTCCAGCCTGGGTAACGTGAGTGAAACTCCGTCACAAAAAAAAAAAAAAAAAAAAAAAAAAAAAATCTATTGCTTCTGGAATTCTAGCTCCACACCATACCAAAGATATGAAGTTACATTCAGACCTGAAATTGTTTCTTTGCTGTAAAAGATAAAGTGTTTTTTTAAAATTTTGTGTTTGAAAAACTTTAATCAAAATGTAACTCTTGTAATTTACAATTACCTATGATTTCTCAGCATCTGTAAATGATCAGACATTCTTGTGAAATAAGAAATCCAATCTCAAATTGCTACAAAATGTAAAATGTGTATAAAATCCTAGTTTAACATGTAATGAAATAGATATGTTAATTTTGAAGTTACTTAAACATTTATCAGTTTTGCAATTTTTATATTTTAGGATACACACACACACACACACACACACACACACACGATCTTTGGAAGCTTTTAGGCTTTAGCCTTTGGCATTGGGGCCATATAAGGGGCTCCATATATAAAATGGCCCTGTCTTTTCTTGCAGGTAGAATAAAGAAGAGAGCTCACAGACTTGAACTGACAAGCCATCAAGAGAAAAAGCTGTAAACATATTGAGGTAATAATTATTTAATAGGAGGAAAAGGCAACAATGGTATCCACACCTAGCGACAAGATAGCGGGGCTAAATAAGTAAAGCTTCTGGGGCTACTCACAAAACCCAAGACTCCAAGAGACCAGAATATCCTACGATCCAGAGCATATAACTACACTGAAACTGCAGTTATAGTGGACAGATGTACTCTATTAAGATAGTGTTAGAGGTTCACATGGTGGGGATCACCACTACTCCAAGCACATGACAGAGAGAAAAATATAGAGAAAAATGTAAAAGACAAAGTCAGTGACCGTTATGAGTACCCACTTTAAACTGTACACAATTTTATTTAAATTGTACATATGTTACTGAAACACCAAGGGTTTAGTCTAGGTTCCATTGCTCGCCACACAGAAAGCCAATCGCCAAAGCAATGAGAATTTCCAGGGAAAAAAGCTTTTTCAGGTGCTGCAGCCAGGGAAAAGGGAGATCAGTCACAACTCCACCTCAACTAACTAAAATTAGGAGTGAATATGGCAAGGAAGAAATGTAACTATGTGTGGGGAAACAGAAAATAGGGAGGGATAAGGAAGAATAATTGTTCAACAGGAAGTGGATGGTTGGTTAGGCCAGGGGTCCCCAACCCCTGGGCCATGGACCAGTAGGGAACTGGGTCACACAGCAGGAGGTGAGTGGCAGGTGAGGGAGCATTACTGCCTGAGCGCCATCTCCTGTCAGATCAGTCGTGGCCTTAGATGCTCTTAGGAGCTCGAACCCTATTGTGAACTAGATGAGGGACCTAGCTTGTGTGCGCCTTATGAGAATCTAACTAATGCCTAATGATCTGAGGTGGAGGAGCAGTTTCATCCCGAAACCATACTCATCAGCCCCCAACCCCACACCCCATGGAAAAATGTTCTTCTATGAAACTGGTCCCTGGTGCCAAAAAGGCTGGGAACCACTGGTTTAGGCAAGCATGACAGGTAAGGGATCTGGTCTCATTGTCCTGATGTGGTGATCTGGTAAGTTTCAGTTTCTTGATACTATCTGGGAGGACTGATAGTTGGTTTCCTCTAAAGGGAACTCAGATAAGACAAATGTAAGTTTGTCAAGTTTTAAGACTGGGCAGGTCAATTTCTATGTTTATTCAAAAGAACCCATAAACATGAACTGGTTTCACATATGTGTTTTTTGCACTCTTCTGTACCTCTCCTTGGATTAAAAAATAAAAAAAAGAAACAGAGCCATGGGTTTGCCATGTATAGGGCAAAAGCCAATGTCCTGGTGAACTTTCAGTCTAGAAGCAGGTATAGAGAGACCACTTGAAGTATGGCTTCTGGGAAGTGTTGGCCTAAAAGGAAGAGGCTGAGGCACAAAATATAATTTAAAGGGTTTACTTCAGCCAAAGTGAGGACAGCTGCCTTGAACACTGAGGCCCAAGTAAATTTACAATAAACTCTGCCTTAGGCTTTTGTTACAAGCAGGTTTTAAAAGGGGACAGGGAATGGACTGATACAAATTTGTCAGGAATCCCCATTGGTTTATGGAAATAGCAGTGACTGGCTATACATTGTTAAGCAGTGGAGTGTGGGTTCTAGTGGCTGGTGCCACATTATTAGGTTAATTTATAACTACTTGTGGCAACAGCAAGCAGTTTCAAGAGATGAATACATAGGTTACTGGGGAGGAGGAGTAGGACATGATTGCCAGCCATCGCATTTTTTTTCTTTTTTTGGAGACAGGGTCTCACTCTGTTGCCCTGGCTGGAGCACAGTGGCACGATTATCACTCGTTGCAGCCTCAGCCTCCCAGGTTCAGGTGATCCTTTCACCTCAGCCTCCTGAGTAGCTAGGACCACAGGTGTGCACCACCACACATGGCTAATTTTGTATTTTCTGTAGAGATAGGGTTTTACCATGTTGCCCAGGTTGGTCTCAAACTCCTGGACTTAAGCGATCCTCTGCTGTCAACTTTCCAAAGTGCTGGGATTACAGATGTGAGCCACAGTACCTAGCCACCATCTCTTTTTAATGTCTCTCTGGGCCTGATAATTTGAAAGGACTTGCATTCTTCAGATGAAAGTTATTTTCTTTACTCAGAAGGTAAGAGAAAATAAATGTTCTCCAGAAAGCCGAGTGCCAGAAGGCAACCTGATCAAGCAGCCTGCAGACTTGTTGGCAGGATCTTTACTACAGCCCTAGGGCAAGAGCCCAGAGCCCCCAGCATTGGAGCTGGCTTTAGGATGGGAGCCACAGAGACCAGACAGAGAGAGGTAAACCACTCCACATGGAAAATAATGGGAAGACAGACAAAAAGAGAGGAAAAGGGAGAAAGAAATAAACTTTCCGCTAAAAATAAATCTGCAAACCAAATTTCCAAAACATATTTTTAAAACTTTTCTAAAAAACACTGACAATAACAATCAACAACCAAAACGTGAAATTGCCCCAAACAAAATAAATCAGTAGAAGAATATGCAGGAAAACAGGCCTTTCCCTGCCTAAGAAAAAGATGGGTGATGGAAAATAAAAGAAATGTATGTATTTCAAAGAATCCTTAAAAAGAGAAATGGATGTATAATATCTACACAACAAAAAAGGAATTATAAAACAAAAATAGGAATAAATGAAACAAAATCATACACAAATGAAAAAGCACTTATCAGAATTGGTGGAAAGAAAAGATCATGAGAGACCTTTAAGAGCATCTCTTCTGAAGTTGGGGGCTGCGATTTTGGTGGACTGCTGTAACTGAGCCCAAAGCTTGTGCTACTCAGCACACAACAGCCAATCAGTCAAGAGACGGGGATTGGAGCAGGGAAGACAACTTTATTTCTGGGGAGCCAGCAAACCAAGATGGCAGACTACTGTCCTAAAGAACCATCTTAAGTAAATGTGAATTTTGGGCTCCTTTTATGTTAGGGGAGGGGGAAAATGGGAAGAGGTTTAGGTCAAAAAGTGACCAATGACCACAGACCTCTGGGTGGCAGTGAGGGTAAGCTTCTTTGTCCTTGTCAGGTCACAGTGCTCCTGTAAATTTTTAACATAACATTGTTACTTATGTGTATACCCACCTTATTATCTCCTTGGTGGTTAGTTTTGGGGAGGGACTAATCATCCTTGCTTTAAAGTTCAACTATAGGCTGGGCATGGTGGCTCATACCTGTAATCCCAGCAATTTGGGAGGCCAAGGTGGAAGAATTGCTTCAGCCCAGGAGTTTGAGACCGGCCCTGGAAACATACTGAGACCTGTTTTCTAAAGAAAATTTAAAAAAATTAGCCGGGCATGGTGGCCTTTGACTACCAGCTTCTTAGGAGGCTGAGGTGGAGGATTGCTTGAGCCTGGGAGGTCGAGGCTGCAGTGAGCTGTGATCATGCCAATTAACTCCAGCCTGAGCAACAGACTGAGAACCTGTCTCAGAAAAACAGCAAAATACTGAGTGGGACTGGACCTCAGACAGAAACCACTGGTACATCCATCAGTAGAAACTTTTCTCCAACAACTCAGAAGATAGTCCCAGCCCTCCTGGAACTTGCAGTCTATAGTGTAGGATAGTCATGATAAACCGAAAGGCACAATTAAATGTAAAATCCCAGTTGTAATGAGTGCTGGGAAGGAGAGGTGAATACTGTGTTGAGAGGTTGTAATGTGAGATGTGGTTTGGTCTGGGAGATCAAGGAAGACTTTTCTAATGAAATGAAATTACATCTAAGACTTTAAGGATAAACAGGAATTACCCTGGTTAAGTATGGGCAGAAAGAGAAAGGAAGTGTTCCATGCAGAGGAATTAGCAAATGCTAAGACCCTGTGGTGGGAAGAGGCAGTTTCATGCAAGGAATTAAAAGATAGTCATGGTGCCGTGACTAACGCCTATAATCCCAGAACTTTGGGAGGCTAAAGCAGGCAGATCACCTGAGGTCAGGAGTTCAAGACCAGCCTGGCCAGGATGGTGAAACCCCATCTCTACTAAAAATACAAAAATTAGCCAGGCATGATGGCACACATCTGTAGTCCCAGCCACTACGGAGGCTGAGGCAGGAGAATCACTTCGACCTGGGAGGCAGAGGTTGCAGTGAACTGACATTGTGCCATTTCTAGCACCTTCTTAATAAGAATGATGAGAGGGGACATACTTGCCTCGTATGTCTTCCCCATTAAACATAATGTTAGCAGTAGACTTTTTGGAGATATTCTTAATCAAGTTGAAGACGTTTTTCTCTATTCCTATTTTTCTGAGGGTTCTATCGGTCATCATGGAATTTTTAGCACATGGGAAGTGGAGCCAATCCTGCAGACCCCTCTACCTCCTGTCCCTCCAGATCAGCAGAGTCTGAAACACCTGTCCATATGTCACTCCAGGGGTCTGTGTTCTCCTGCACTAGCCACAGGGCCTGAGGGCATCCACACTGTACTGATGAGCAAATTGTGCAGCAGAAGGGATCCAACAGAGGGCCTTTCAGCTAGGTAACCGATCCTGTGGCCTTAGTCACAACGAGCCCCACACAGATTTACCTCCTGGGAATGTGAGAAATGATTTTTTTTTTTTTTTTTTGAGATGGAGTCTTGCTCTGTTGCCCAGGCTGGAGTACAGTGGCACAATCTTGGCTCACTGCAAACTCTGCCTCCCATGTTCAAGTGATTCCCCCGCCTCTGCCTCCTGAGTAGCTGGGACTACAGGCGACCACCACCACGCCCGGCTAATTTTCGTATTTTTAGTAGAGATGGGGTTTCACCATATTGGCCAGGCTGGTCTCGGACTCCTGACCTTATTATCCACCTGCCTCAGCCTCCCAAAGTGCTGGGATTACAGGCATGAGCCACCGTGCCCGGCTGAGAAAGATTTTATGTATATATTATTTTGGTCAAAAGGAGCAAAGAATGAGATAACTGACATCTATTTTAGTCTTACAGTTGTGAACAATTTCCAAGTGCAGATGTTAAAAATCCAGAATCCTGGCTCGGTGCAGGGTGGCTCATGCCTGTAATCCCAGCACTTAGGGAAGCCAAGGCGGGTGGACCAC